ACACCGCGAAATGGATCGTTGTACATTCGTAGCTGCGGGGCTTGTGCACAAAATACTTGTTAATCCGCGTGCCGGGGCGTATGTGCAGTACGTAAATATCGAGCACACACATCCGAGGAGTCCGTGACCCCTTCGAGATGCATTTGTGCGTATACGTGTGTGTGCTCCGGTGCAGGCCCTGGAGTGTCTATACACATCGACGCTCATGAATACCGAATACATGTAACGGGAATGCGGGCAACCACGAGGTTCTGCCTATACACATACGTCGCGCATGTAAATGAAGGACAATGCGCGCGCCAGTCGAGACACTTGAGCGCAAAACGCGCGCACGCGTCTCGCTCTCTTAAAGCTGCTCTGTATATGTGCGAATGGGTATATGGTACATAGAGGCAGTGTATAAAAAAGAGAGAAGTGCGTCGCGAGGATATAATACGCGCGCACAAGTGCTGGAACGTTCATTGGGATGGAATTAATTTGGTAACAAGTCGGACACTTATATCCATGCCGCTCAACATGCTACTTTATGCCGCTGGCGCAGCGACAGCAGTGCAGGCAACAGCAGCCAGAGCCCGGCTTTTATGTATACGCTTTTTCTTCGATGAATTTGCGAGCGTATTTGGTACGATCCGATGTATGCGTGCGCCCGTGTCCGACCGAATGAATACATGATCGACATTTATATTGCAGCTTATATGCGCTGTATACAAGAAAAACTACACCCTCGCCGGATTATGAGCGAGCTAGAGAGAACGCGCGAAGAAAGGCCACATGTTCCACTGTACTCTTTCCAATCGTTCCAATCGTTCATTTTAAGATGACGCGTGTGCGACGAGCTACACTTGTGTTTCAATTATTCGAGACTGATTCGATCACTGTCGTGTCCCTGTCAAATGATCTGTTCTGTGTCAGCGATCATTTTTTTACGATTTGAGAATGACTGCGTCGAAATACGAGCGTGCCTCGGGTTTAATTAGAATGTATCATACATGGGTCTGTCTTCTGTAGAAATTTTCGTGGCTCTTTAATCCCAAGTGCAATGAACGTGACCGATACGAGAGTCGCTCGATCATTGTTTCGGGTCATCCAAGCAAGATAATCGTACAAATACCGCATATTCAGATATGCTATGCACAGTAAGAAACCGCAAGCGCGTCGACGCCGACGAAGAATCATGCCAGATCGAGGGTGTGGTGCCTACAAGCACGATCCGTACATAGGCAAATCTACATTATACAGAGCCGAGCTATCTCTGCGGGTGATCTCGGAGAAAAAAAAGAGAGAAGCTAGGCTCGATCGAGCATGGTTCGGAATGAATGCCCACCCATCTGTCGACGCAAGCACAGACATATTTACTGCGCGAGTACTCGTGCAGACTTCGTACCAGGAAAGATCGGCATTGCTACACAATTGAGAGATTTCAAGACAAATTAGCCATACAGTCGACGCCCAACTTTTTGACCTTTATTGTGCACGCCTCGAGCTTCTGTGGTTTTACGTAGTGCGCCGCGCTTATATGTATACAAAACCTTTGATATTCTAAACTATGTTTCCTTGTCCGAGTTTGATTAGTTTTTGGTATGAAAACTTTTCCATTTTGTTCCATACATACGTCTTATGCCATATTTTCACGATATGTATTATTCTGTACATAAAGCTTTATAACGTCGAACTTTATGCCCGGCTGCAAGCGCGCGAATGTGAGATATTTTGGAGTTTTCAACTCGTTCTGAACGCATTAATTGTTTTCGCGGCAGCAAAAGATATTCATTATTTCCGCAAAAGGTCAAACGAAAAAGAACGCACCGTAAAATTGAAAGCGCCAGCTCACTACATGCGCAGCTCATTTTTTAAATATACTTTTCCCGACGCGAGGAGCAGAAAAAAAGTGAGCTACAAAGTGAGATATCAAAATTGATGCATTTATTATACCCGACTAGCTATCTGATACTCCTCTTTCTCTTCGCACTCTTTTTTTCTTGCTCTTTCACTTTTATGTGACGTATTGATTTATAATGCACCACTCATTATATTCGAAACAGTATCTTATTATAGAATTTTATCAACTACGATCTTAATGAAAATATTTACTGTATAATACATTTTTATTTCAGTTATTAAGAAAAAAGAAATGATTTTTATTGCATGAATTATACTAATGAGCAATAAAAAATTTCTTGAAAAATTATCGTATGAGAATAATTTTAATAGGTATTTGCATTTGCTGTACTTGATTAATGTTACAAAAAGTGTTATTGGATAAAAATAGCTAATAAGTTTCTTAAAATTTTTCTAATCGATTTGCTTAAAATGCAATCAATCTAAAATTCATTCAATAAAGAGTTTATGAATTCAAAAAAAATAGTGGTTTTGGTATATAATTGTTTTACATACATGGTAATTAAAAATCATCTCAAAATATCTAATCGATAGTTTTTTGATTGTTTTTATTTCTCATTACTTTCAAGTTGGAATAATAAAACTGAATGGGAATCACTCACGTATTCATGGGCGCTTTGGGCCCTTACACAAATAGCTCCTCTCGCACATACGAGTGTCCCATATACAGTGTTGCGAGGGTACTCCGACTCCAGTAGCTATATTTTAATTTACCCGCAGGTATGCCTCGTGAATCATAATTGCCGTATCAACGCGACCGGTGCGTTTACGAGCCCGACGAGGAGAAAAGGATTCGACGTACTTTCATGGCTATATACGAGATACATTAGCATCGATTTTATCGAGCCGAGGATCGTAAATGTGTATAAGTGGCAAAGTAAAGGCCACAGGCGCACATTTTTATGGGGGCAATCGTTGAAAATCGATTTTACAAGACATTCAAGCGCACCTATACACGTACAAAAGGTCGGGTAAACTCGGCTCTCTATTATACATCTGAAAGAATTTCTGCTGACTCGAGTCAAGAGTGCCCATATAATCGTCCGCTGACGATGTATACGTGTATGTACATGCCTCTTTGAGAACAGATGCGGGTTTTCAAAATCTGGCATACAGAGTAGCTGGTGAAGTTTTATAAGCCTAAACGTACGGGCTAATTAGGCTGAAATGTGGCATTTTTCGGCATAAAACGGAAAATTTTTCATTATATCGTTGTTTGTGTCAGTGAGCCTATAAATGAGCATTAAATAACTCGAAAGAACGAACAACGACACGAAGATTTGATTAACCAGAACACAGGTTGGTACAAAGAAAAGTCTCATAAAAATGATACTGTCTCTTAGGAGTTTTCATGAATTTTAATGAACCTCATATCTTTTACAGAGTCGTGATAAATTACTGTGCACAGTCTAAACACTACTTTTTTTCTCCTTTTGTAAGTCCTAATCGAGTTATTAAGAAGTGAAACATGACTCATCGTTCTGAAAATTAAGCAGAGGAAAGACTGCTTCTAATTATTTTTTCGTTTTCATGGGGTCTTGCCAACCACCACCTCGTGATTCTCTCATTATCAGATGTAAGCCTCACCAAAATTAACACGTCTGTTTTACTGGACTAAAAAAATACTCATGCTAAACAATTGTATTGTTGTACGTAAGGCCTTTGAGTAATACATTTTTATTTTACTTGTACACGGGGATAGATTAATATACAAGACACGAATTTAATAGCCCAGTGTACGATCAGCTCGCTGGAAGCGTCCGATACACAATATCTGTAACGAGGTATTGCATATGAAAATAGCAAATTATTGATTTTGACGTGTGCGTACGCGCGAGCCCCGGCCCCCGAGTATACACACGGGCTTCGATACATTCGCGTGATTCGCTCGAATATCGCATTTGTCGTTGCACAAATTGCGATCCATACCGATCGTAAACCTATTTTATTTAAATCCCGCGGCAGAGAGAGAGAAGTCTATATCGCCCGCAGAGTCGTACTGTGTGTTGTCCGCTGCATTATTATTACCTCAGACGCGCGTGTATACTTAGGTACGCGTGTGTGTATGCGATATACGTGTAGCAGCGGCATTAGTATTTATACATATGTAGTTGGATACTACAACTGCGATGTATGTACCGAAAATATATCGACATTTCTCGAGATTCTCTTAATTAAAATACATTCTTAGCTCATTCTATACACGACTGCATTTGACACTTGACTCGCGACAAGCTCATTTAAAATGCATAAGCGCCGAAGTTGCTATATGAGAGCTGATGTCAACTGATATTTTTTTGTAAAGATTTTCAACTCGACGAAGAGATATTAAATTGTTGAATATTTTATGCGTTTAATGAAACTATTTTGTTCGATCGTGATAATTTTCGTGGATAAATTTGAAAATTACAGGCTCTAATAAAATTAGGTTGATTTTAAACCAATTACCGGGAAGGCATGCCTCATTATAATTGTACACTCTTATTTGTAGGCACAAAAAAAGTGTTAAATAATTAAACCAAATAATTCTATAATTAAATGAAAATATATTATATCTAGTGGATAGACGATACATACCGTCAATTGGTTTTTAAATAAAACAGTAAGATAAATCATTTTTACATACCTTTGTGTCTCATTGAAAGTAGATAAAAATGTTTATAGAATCAACAAGCAGGACACTTTATAACTAAACTTTATGATTGAATTACACACACAAAAAAGGCATACTTGGATTTATTGGCTCGATTTCCCTCAGAAAATCGACTCTTCTGAATTTATTAAATTTTAACAAAAGAAAAAATCCCTCAAAACAAGTATATTCTTCGTCTTTTGGATCATTAAAATTCTTTTTAAACAAATGATGGAAAAATAACTTTCCTTTAGAATAAGAGGCATTATTCTTCTAAATTTTCTTGCAACATTTTTTGGTTATGTTTATTTTTAACAAATATATGCGATAAAATTTTATACAAATAATAAATCTTGAGAATTACTCATTGATTTATTAAGAGACACCAAAAATGTAGGTAACACAAAAATTATTCGAATATAAGCGCACCCTAAATATTCTCCGTACAGCATGAGTCACGACCGGCGTAAAATGACTGTACACCGTGGCGGCGTAAGACTATAGTATGTTGTTTTGGTTACGTTCTCGTATACACGTGTTTTTGTATACATTTCATTTTCGCCTTTTAACAAAATCCCTGCATAATTGACAAACAATGAGTTATACAGAGGAAAATGGCGAAAGTAAAATTTTGGTGCGATTAGCCAATAATCGAATTGATCATACGTTGCCTGTACAGCAAGATCCTCGCACAGCATTTTATACTCCTGGAGAGGAGATATCAACTCAGCCAGATTTTTTGAGGTAGTTATATTTATGATTTTGAATGACAATCAATGATGACTGATGGGAAATTTTTAACAATTTGCAATTATATTAAAGAGGTCATGGAACCTATATGGATACACAGCAAGTTTTACGAGCATCAGTTGCTGGCAACCTTGAACGAGTGAACAAATTGATATCTGTTAGACCTTATAAAACACGCTATCAAGGAGAAATTGGAGATGTTGTTATTGGTCGTATAACAGAAGTTCAACAAAAAAGATGGAAAGTTGATACCAATGCAAAACTTGACTCAGCTTTATTACTTTCTAGTGTTAATTTACCTGGAGGAGAATTGGTAAATTTATTTATCCTATGAAAATGAATTGAAATTTATAACATTATACTTATGAGTAAATATTGTTATTGTAGAGGAGAAGATCTGCTGAAGATGAGCAAGCTATGAGGCGCTATTTGCAAGAAGGTGATGTTGTGTGCGCAGAGGTCCAGAGTATATTTGCAGATGGCTCTTTGTCATTGCATACAAGAGTATTAAAATATGGAAAATTATCACAAGGTATCATGATGAAGTTATCACCGTCTATGATCAAAAGACAAAAACAACACTTTCACAATCTAGCTAATGGGGCAGTGTTGATATTGGGCAATAATGGTAATGTATGGATTGGAGCTAGTCAGTCAGGTCAAGATTCTTCGCAAGGAGGGTTTACTCAGGATTATTCAAGAATTGACCAAGAAAACCGTGAAGTTTGTGCAAGATTGCAAAATTGTATACGTTGCCTTGTTAAAAGCAACATACTTTTATCAGATACATCGGTTACTTATGCTTATGAAGAGTCAATGAAGTATGAAATAAAAGAACTCATACAAGATGAAGTTCAATTTAATGTTGCTTTGCTGACACATCAGCGGCTGGTTGCATAAAAATTTATGAATAATTTTTATCAGTCAAATAAAGTTAAGCAATCTGTCACAGTTAATGATTTCCTTAATAATTGTAATTCATTGTAAATAATAATAATATATATCAAACTTTATTTTTGTAAAACAAAATAATATTCAATTGTCCTCCTCATCATAACAAAAATAAAAATATTCCGAAAAAAAAGTGGCGTGAAAAACAAGTCGGTCGCGGAAGCGCAATAACATCTTCATTAATTTACGTTTTTTCATTATATTTTCATTTCATTCGTGAGACAAGTGCCTTCTTTATACGCGTTCTATTGCTTCTCAAAAATATCATGAGCTCTCCTCTGTAGTGAAAAAATTGAGATATGCTCGAGAAAAATGAAGCAAACAAGAGATTCTATTGTTGTTTTTTTTTTTTTTTTAAATTTTCCGCCTAACTTTCGATTTTCATGGTGTACGGTGAATGTGCCTACGCCTTACACATGATACACGTTTATAAAAGCACATGAGAGTACCATAATGAGACCTGAACAGGGTTCTAATTTCATACAGTAGCATTAGATTCACTTTATGACTGGTATATCTATCTCATCAATAAAATTTTCCAGTATCCTATTTTCTGTGCATTCATAATATGAAACTACTTATCTACCTCTCTTATTCTGTGAGCTCAGGGTCCAGAGCCCGTTAACTTCATATTTCAATAAGAAAAACACAAAATCTCTTTTTACCATAAAAAATCAAATTTTTACATCGCCTCGCCGTAAAAGAAACATTAAAACGTTTCAAACAGACTCTTACCCCGTTTACAAGTTTTGAAACTTTGCTTCATTCGGTCATTGAATAAAATCATATAACATAATCAAAGATTTAAAAAAAAAATTAAATCATTAAGAAATGAATCAAAATTATACAAATCCAAGTCGGATGAAAGTAGCACTACATAGTGCATCGTATAGTGCGCCGATCGTACTTCGCATCTCTCGCGCTGCTGCGCAGGTTCATAGAGTGGGTGTACACAATTTGACTACAATTAAGTATGCTACTCCGAAATTATACTTTCTAATCGTAACATTATTCCATATATAGCTACATAGCTACACATCTCGTGCTGCATGGGTCAACTTTGTATCTTTGAAGAGCATCTGTGGTCAGTGTTCATTATAACTCCATTGCGTGAACATCAAAAAGAATCCATAGACCGTAGCCCGTAATTTTAAAGAAAAAAGTTATATTATTTTGAATTATTAGTGATTGTGTGTTGTGTGTGAACGATATAGACATGTCGTCCAGCGACGAATCCGTTGATAGTAGCGGCGAAATTATTGCGGACTATGATTTAAAATACGTGAATCGTCTGTACGAATTAAGATTGAAGAGCTTAACAAAAAAAGTGAATTACGAGAACGAAGAGGAGCGTATTGAATTTCTTCGTCATCTCTATCCTTTAATCAGTGATTGGAAGGAACGACTTCCAAATCTACGAGACCATTTTCAGCCCGAAGAAATTGAAACTCTTCTCACTGATTCCTTAAAATACATTTGTAATAAATGTAGACATAAAAAAGGACGATTCGTCGATTTTGTCGTACGCACCGGCTACATAGACGATCAGCCCAAAGTCGACGAGGACGGCAAACCATTGCTGCGTCGAAGCACACCAGTACATTATGCGGCTGAACTCGTAGGTGACATTCGCGGTGTCGTGGGCGTCGTCGAAAATCTTTTTAAAATTTTTGATAAGTTTGACGCAAATTACATCGACGAATCTGGTTTGTCACATTTCCATGTGGCCTGCCAATATGGCCGTTATCACATCGTCGAGCGATTTCTCGACCTCGGGCAGGATCCTAATTGCATCTGGAGAAGTACAGGCGATACTCCGCTACACGTGGCTCTGGGCAAGGGCTGCAAAGAAGTGGCCGAACTGTTGCTGAGACGAGGCGCCGATCCTACTCTGCTCAATCGCGAGCGAGCGTCTATTCTGCACAATATTTGCAAAAGCTTCGGCGATCGTGACAATTTTTTGCATAGTTTATTCGTGACCTGCAGGCAAAGACGTCAGTCGTTGCCGATCGATGCCAAGAACGAAGAAGGTAACACAGCGCTAAACCTGGCTCTTTATTTTAAAAAAAGACAAATGGTTGAATTGCTGTTGGACAGAGGTGCCAATCCTAATTTGGCCAATAAGAAGGGGCATGCAGCTCTGCACTTTGCTTGCAATAGAGGCGCATTTTATACCGATGACATAGCGAGTATGTTATTCGAGCTCAGCGAAGAAAATTATAAGCCGTTGCAGATCGACGCGGCGGACAAGAACGGTAATACACCATTGCACATTGCTCTCGAAGAGGACAACAAGGAGGTGGCTGAATTTTTGTTGAGAAGAGGAGCCGATTTCAATTTTGCCAACGTGGATGGAATGACGCCTCTGCATATTATTTGCAAGAGACAACGCAAAGATGATTTACTGAAGTTTTTCTTCGAGATCGTTGACAAAAAGGGTGGAGTGGTGCTAATCGATGCCCGAGACAAATCGGGTAACACACCGCTACACTATGCCGTGTTATCGGGTATCAAGGAGACGGTTGAAACGCTGCTAAATAGAAATGCGGACCCGAATTCGACCAACAACGAGGGCTCGACACCTTTGCACGTCATTTGCAATTGTGACCACGACGTTGACTTGCTGAAGATGTTCCTCAAAGTCAACGACGATAGAGCACAGCTGGTGGTGCTCGACCTAGTTGACAAGCTTGGCCTGACACCGCTGCAATCGGCTGTGGCAAGTCTGCTGCCGGATGTGGTCGACGTGCTCTTAGAACGGGTCGTCGATCTGTCAAAATTCGTCTTCCCCGATCAGAGTCAATTCGAGGAGAGAATGAAGCTTTGGTCGAAGGACTGTATCCTTTATACTTTTAAATTGAGACAAGCTTCTCGCCTTCTACTGATCGTCGAACGTCTCGAGTCATCGAAAAAAGGATTCAAATTGAACCAACACAGCTCTCTCACGATCATGCAAGTTCTCGATCGACAGATCGACAGATTTGACATCAACAGATTTGACAAATCGGTGGCTGGCTCCAAGAAGTTCGCGAGAGAAGCGAAAAAGATAATGATAAGAGACAACGATCCAAACCTGTCGCTCTACGATCTGGTTCGGCTGTCACCCAAAGAGGCGGCAAAACTAGTCACGTATTCGGACTATTTCAAGTTTGCGCACTCGGGAAAATTGATTCAACTTCCCAAAAGGTTTATTACTCCTTGTGCCGCGCATCTGTGCGAGAAAATTGCGGGTGGGTTTTTCTGGCGCTGGACAATTGAACTTTTTCAACCGGCTATCGATAATTGGGTGCTGTAAAATGACCATGAAGAAGATGATGAACCAAGAATTTATACATTTTTGTTGAAATATTTTTTAATGTCTGGTTTTGTTGAATGTTTTATAATAAATAAATAATAAATAAATAAATAAATAATAAATAAATAATAAATAAATTTATAAAATGATTTTCGTTTTTCTTATTGATAATCACATGATATTATTCGAAATAAAAGATCACACTTTGTATACCTTCAATACGATGTAACCTCATCGAGGTCAGTTATTATTCTAGTACGAATCAAAAATATAAATATTAACAAAAAATTACACTCTTACGCAATTGTAACTGTATAAATACTCAAAAAAAAAAATATTTTAGCTAATTGCTATAAAATACTATTACAAAGCTCTTGGATGGACTTCTCACAGACACGCGTTTTACATGCATCTAACATACATAAATATCCAAGAACAGAATTAGCTTCGCAGGCTAATACGATGAAGCTCGCCTATAATGTGTGCCGATTAGAGCTTCGTCGAAGAACAATCGAAATATCGCCGCAAAAGCCGATCGCGATTATTCGATCCAGCCTCGAAACACCCGAAACAGCAGCGACTTTTCGTATATATACTTCGTATTTTATAGCTATCGTGGCGCGTGCCGCCGACGTTTTGGTAAAAGTTAACACGGAGGCCTATATTATATAGCCCGATCGAAGGGAGGAAGCGCCCTGCCGCAATTCTTCCGGCTTTCGTAGGTTTATGCGCCGTGCCATGGATAAAAGAGAAAGAAAGAGAGAAAGAGAGAGGCTGCACTGGACTCGGGCAGCTGCAGTCCCGGTAGCCTTAGTAGTGCCGTTATATACCTATATACCTACGCGCATCATACGCATGCATTATGAATAATGTGAGTGCGAAATTGGCTTCCTTAAAAGATGTATCAACTCGTCGTACAAAGCCTTTTCACCTTAAGCACGCTTGCATTTTTGAATTAACTAATTTTTAAAATCTTCTGTACGTAATACATACATGTGTGTAGCTAGTGCGCATACACTCGATGAATGTGGAAACTTGATAGTTGTCGATTTCACGCCTAGGGAAGCTACAAACTTGGGCTGGTTTGTTTTTTTGTTTATTTTTTCGCAAAACATTCGAAGAAAAATACCTCATTTCTTTCTTCTACACAATCAAAACTAAGTCCGCATTAATTTCCCTTTAAATGTTGCTCCGATGATGTAATTAGTTTACGAGAACGACATTAAAGAATCATCGACGCACTTGTTGCCTTCTTTGTATTTTTAAAGACTTCCGAACAGTTTCTTGCTGGTGAAAACAAAACCACATCCTTATCGTGAAAATCGAGATAAAAAAAAACTCAGTAAAAGTGACCGGTCATTTTTTTAGTAAAATTGAATCATAATTTGTAAATCATCGCGAACGCATTCTTTCAACGCAACCTTTTGTAAATGTGTAAGGGCAGCATGATATGAGATGCATCGTCATGTGCCGAACAGATTGCTATCGACCGCGTGCTCGACAAGGACTCTCCAAGTGCGAGCGCTTACACTTACGTATAGCGTACTATACATGTCGCACAATAGCCCGAACGAGTATCCGGCAGCGCCCATATGCACCGGCCGTGCAGGAAAAAAATGCGCATGTAAGAAGAGTATATACAACGCTGTGCAGGCCGGCGACGTCTCGCGCGCCACCGTAACAATCACTCCGATCGACGATCACGGATTT